GGTTGGGAATACAGAATTGTATGGGGTGCCGTTTGATGAAAAGACTCAGGCCCAGGTCAGAGTTTCTACACAACCCAGGTGCACTGGGTCTCTGAAAAGCTGGAAGTCCCTATAAGGTCACCCATTAAACCCTGAACTGCACAAAAAATCTCCCCTAGGGAAACAGCAGCAAAGCAGCAATTTAGCTCAACAACACAGCTCAAGTATGGTTCCCACAGGAAGTTCCCCATTTTAGAAGTAAGCAAAGGACAAAAAATTAGTTCCAGTCTGGGCACACCGCCAGTGCCTTGGGGCCATGTCCGGGGGCCGGGGGTATGGAGCCAGGGACCAAACCCCCTGCCCACATCCAGACACACCACCAGCATCTCAGGGCCCCACCTGGGGGCCCAGGGAATGGAGTTGGGGATCAGAAACCCTGCCCACATCCAGGCAGACTGCCAGCACCTCAGGGCCCACCTGGGTCCCAGGGCATGGACTGGAGACCGGACCCCCCCACACAAAACCAGGCACACCATGCCAGTGCCAAGGAGCATGTCAAAAACATCACCTCCATGTGGGTGGCCCACCACAGCCACCACAGTAACCATGGGTGCTGTGAAAGTGGCTAGACATCACAACCACCATGCAGATGGTCCACCAGCCACTGGAGTGCATTGGCACAAGGAGAGTCAGCAGCAGAGACCAAAGAAAGGAAGAGGATGTCTCTCTCCACAAACCCCATTCCAGAGTGACAGAAGTATCTGCTCTATGATAATATTGGGGAACCCGAACACACCTCTCAGCATTGGACAGATCCTCTAGGCAACAAATCAACAGAGTAACCATTACTCTTTCAGAAGGAGAGAAATCTGGGAGGGGGGGAGGAAAAGGGGGGATCGGGAGAGATTGGACAAGGGGCATAAAGGATAAGTTCAATTTATAACAATATATATGCTAGTAATATTGATTTGATCTACACTGAATCCCAAAAATATGTATAATCAATTATGATTCAATAAAAAAAATTAATAGTGATCATAAAGGATTACAACTTACTGAATAAAATAAGAATCCATAAATCCACACTGATATAAATAAGTGAATGAGAAGGGAAACCTCTTCATCACAGTAGAAAGCCAACTAAAAATGTATGAAGAATGATGGAATTAGAAAAACACCATTTGGCAACCACCATAATTATAATTAATTCAGGCAAGAATTAGCTAAAACTAGTGGATGAAAGTTTGAGGAGGAACAAAATATTTATATGATCTCAAAGCATCTCCCCACAAGATATGTATTAATTACAGCATAGAACAGTAATTTTTCTAGTGGAAATTACTGGTTGATACTACCTTAACTAAATTATCAGAGTTAACATTGCCTGTAATGGGACTAGTCAGCAGTGTGTGCCTCCTGTCATGATTCATCAAGAAAAACCCAGCATCCTTTCTGTACTATTCCTGCCAAAAGTGCATCACATGAATACAATTATGAGACATCAGTCAAACCCAAATTGAGGTTTATTCTGCAACATAACTAGCCTGTAGTTTTCAAAATGTCAGTGATTTTAAATGCAAAGAAAGGCTCAGGAACTGTTGGAGATTAAAAGTGACTAAAAATACAAGACAACCAAATGCAATGCATGATCTTGGATTTTCTTTTGTTATAAAGGACATTTTTACCTGTACTGGCCTGCTACAAATAAGTAAATAAAAAATGACATTTGGGGGACCATTCACGAAATCTTTCTAAGTATGTAGTTTAACAACAGTACCGTATCAGTGTTAATTTCCTGATTCTGATCATTGTACTATCATGATGTAAGAGAATTCCTTATTTTTAAGAAATAAATGCCAAATTATTCTGGGATAGAGGCACTGTGTCTGCAACTTACTCTTAAACAGTCCAGAAAAATTAGAGAGAGAGAGAAAAAGGGAGGGAGGGGGTTTCTTTTATTATTCTTGCAACTTTTCTTTAAGTCTGAAATCATGTCAAAAATTTTAAAGTTTAAAAACAATAATAATAAAGTTATCTATGTCTTAAAAGGTTTGAGATGGAATGATCTCCAGAATTAACTGTTAAATTAAAAAACAGTGTATATCAGATCCCCATGCTGGCCAGCCATCCAACAACAAAAAAAAAAAGTGTATAAAATGTTACCTTTGTGCCGGCCCAGTGGCACACTGCTACAGTGCACCGCTTGGGAGCGCAGTGGCACTCCCGCCGAGGGTTCGGATCCCACA